TTCTTCCCCTCCTTCACATAACTCCAATATTTTACAGGCAAATGATCGGAGCAGAAACTGTTTATGTTACCATCTATTTCCTGTTGCTTCTTCTTAAAAATGAGATATTTTATTGGAAAGAGAGAGAGAGAGAGAGAGAGAGAGAGAGAGAGAGAGAGAGAGAGAGAGAGAGAGAGAGAGAGAGAGAGAGAGAGAGAGAGAGAGAGAGAGAGAGAGACATTTCCTTTTTCTAATTACCGACTTTTAGGATTAGGAGTAAGACACTGCCTTTGGATTTTTTCCCCAAGAAGCGGCTGACAACAGTTGGCTAGCACCCAGGTACTTCTTTACTGTTAAGTAAACTAGCAGAGTAGGTGTTAGCAGACTTGACAGTACGTGTATGTTTTACTTTACCTGGGGATCAAACCCGAGACCTCTTGATTCTTCACCGAACACTCTGAGTCGAACCACTAGCTACATGTCACAACTGTGTGTGTGTGTGTGTGTGTGTGTGTGGTGTGTGGGTGGGTGGGTGTGTGGGTGTGTGGGTGTGTGGGTGTGTGTGTGTGTGGGTATGTGTATTTTATATATGCCTGTTTTTTCTCTTGGCTGGTTGACGGCTCTCCTGTAAAGGCTCTTTCTCTCTCAGCGGCTGTAAGACATGTCCTCACTGATATTAAGAGGGATCGACCCCAGGTGAATCCAAGTGTACCCAAGAAATCTCCAGCAGATTATACTATCAGATTACAACACTGAGAGTTACAGAAGTGATCCCAAAACATTTTTAGGTAACACCAGTGAGTGTCTAGGGAACGTCATTTGAAAAAAAAAAAAACAAGAAATTAATCAGACGCAAATGAGCAGTACGAAAACAAGTGCTGGAATACAATGGAAGATTCAGAAAATAACTTGTAATTAATGCAAAATTATATTACTAGCTCGAGTTTTCTTAGAAATTTAGAAGAGCCGGAAATTAATGTGCCACTTAAAGAGAGTAGAAAATATTACTTTGCAAAAAAAGACTTAACGATAAGTGAAATCTTAGTTCAATCTTTTATTAACTTTTGTGAAGCATTAATTAAATATGAATTATGAAATATACAGTAGAGTATTAAGGTCACTGATGAAATACACAGTACACTATAAAGGTCACTGATGAAATACATAGTACACTATAAAGGTCACTGATGAAATAAATAGAACAGTATAAAGGTCACTGATGAAATACATAGTACAGTATAAAGGTCACTGATGACGTACATAGCATTTCATCAGTATTTAGAAATTTGTGACATACGACACAGTCAGCTTCAAATTGCATTGTTAAATGAAAATTGAATGAATAGACTTGACCTTCATTCTCCATACATTCCCCATCCCCACACCTCCCCCTTCCCCATAAATTCCTCTTTCCACGCTTCATCCCCTCCCCATACATCTTCCCCTCCTTACACCATCTTACACCTCCTTACTCCCGCAACATCTCCCTCACATACCCAGCCCCACCATCCCATTCGACACTCCATCCTTTTTCCCACATTATGGCTTCATCACTATCCCCTCCCCTACACTATCTCCACCCTCACCTCCCCTACACTATCCCCCTTACCTCCCTTACACTGAGTGCGGGTGGGTGTGAACTGGACCTGACTAGCTTGTGCTACTAGGTCAGATTCCGTGCTCCTTCCTTAGGTGAATGTGACCTGACCTCATTAGGTTGGGGCATTGGTTTAAGCCGGTAGGAGACATGGACTTGCCTCGCATGGGCCAGTAGGCCTGTTGTAGTGCTCCTTCTTTATGTTCTTATCTCCTCCCTCACCTTCCCTTCCTCGCGGTCACCCTCCCCCGCCCACACACGTCTCGAAATCAGATAACGTTAAGGTTGAATATGGATAAAAATATCAACGTGAGTTTTGAGGTAATATGCAGATCTAGGCAGGCTCCTCTCTCTAATTTTTGACACTTCACCGTGAGGGCGTAAAACAAAAGTTATCTATAAACTGACTTACATAATAACAGTCTTCAAAGAACGTAATATTAAGGCGCGTTTACACTATAAGTCTATCTCACCAACAAGTTTTATTGATAAAATAATGGATAAAACAGTGGACAGAAACATATGTATTAAGAATTTAAGAAACAAATTACGGAGACAGACATAACAGCGTTGTTAGTCAAGAAAGAAGAGGGAAATGAGCATCAAATGATACACTGAAATAAATGGAAGATTTCGGAGCACTATCATCAAGCGAAAAACATTAATATTAAAATGAAATGGTGCAGAAAGGATTTTATGAAATATTTATATATAAGAAGCGTTAGATAACTTGAGTGAGATGCAAGAAGTATCAGTATATGTTGCAGTTAAGAGAATCTTGAGAAATTATTATGACACATTTAATACTGAAGATTGGAAATCAGTACAGATACGTAATGTTTTCTTATCCCGTGTATGTAACCTGCTATATACCTAGTATACACATATCTGGTGTATGCTTACCTGGTGGACATACACTTGGCGTACACACATCTGATGTACACACACTTGGTGTACACTCAACTAACATACACACACATCTGGGTTATACACCCGGTGTACACAAATACTTGGTGTACACAGTATCTGTTGTGCTCTGTTTCCAAGACTAGCAGTTAGCCCAGAAGAGATGAGAAGTAGACGGTGTGTACAACCTTGCCTGACCTAGGGTAGTCCCATGACCTGACTTGACCTTAGGCTAGGGTACTGACCTTTCCCTATTCCTTGGCAGTTCAGTGGCCTATCATGACCTTAGGATGTTGTCCTGAGTTTCGCATGGCTTTTGGATAGTGTCTTGACGTGGCCTAACCTATGAATGTTGAACTAACCTCTGGGTAGTGTCTTAAACTGAGTTAACCCATGGATGTTGTTCTAGTCTAGTGTAGCCTTTGGGTTGACTCTAGACTTAACTTAAAACATTAATGTAATTTATATAAAGGGTATACAAAACCCGACATGTAGATGAATAAGACACATGTGTAACATTTAGATATCTTTACTGTGGAGACGTATCGTCAATCAGTGGCTTTATTGATTCAATACTGACGGTGAAACACGTGAAGGAGTTTGAAATGATCAGTCCTTCTGCCTCGAGTATAGGTGTTCTCTCCAACATTCTTGCTGAATCTGATTCTACAAGACTGTTTGACTAAACAACCCCTTCCCCCTTCCCCCCCTCCTTTTCAAGGCAGAGGAACTGATTACTTTAAACTACTTTGCGTCTTCCACCGTCTCCAACAGATTTGTCAAGGCTGAGGTCCTGATCTTCTCAAACTACCTCATGTTTGTTGAATTAGACACATGTGCAACTCTTGGGTATCTTTATTGAGGAAACGTTTCGCCACACAGTGGCTTCATCAGTCCATACAAAGGAGAAACTTGAAGAACAGGAGGAGAATGAGGTAATCAGTCCCTCCTGTTCTTCAAGTTTCTCCTTTGTATGGACTGATGAAGCCACTGTGTGGCGAAACGTTTCCTCAATAAAGATACCCAAGAGTTGCACATGTGTCTAATTCAACAACATGTCGGTTCTCTGAACCATTCATCTACATACCTCATGTCTACCACCTCCTGCAGTGTAACTCTATCGGATTGATAAAATCACTGGTTAGCGAAACCAGTGCTGTTCTTCAACTCTATATATCGCTGGTGGGTTTCATTTAGATTATGCTGCACAGTTCTGGTCACAGTATTACAGAATGGATATAGATGCACTGGAAAACGTACAAAGGAGGATGACAAAGTTGATCCCATGAATCAGAAATCTTGTGTTGAATGGTTTTGAAAACCGACAAGTTGAAGAATTGAGACACTTATGCAACATATGGGAATCTTTATTGAAGAAACGTTTCGCCACATAGTGGCTTCATCAGTCCAATACAAAGCAGGAAGGTATAAGGAGAGGAGGAGTTTGAGGTAATCAGTCCCTCAGCCTGGAGTTGATGTGTTCAGCCAATCAATCTTGTAGAAAGTACAGCACAGGGTCGTAGACGTGGCTTATATACTGCAGTCAGGTGAGGTGAAGCAGGAGGCGGCGGGGTCATAGTGGTACCATCCACTAGTCTAAGTAGGTCTTCGTCCAAAGGTTGAGCAAGTTTTGAAGAATTCTTTGCATCAAGATCCCATGATGATGCAGCGTCTGACAGTGCTACGGCCCTGTGCTGTACCTTCTACGAGATTGATGGACTGAACACATCGACTCCAGGCTGAGGGACTGATTACCTCAAACTCTTCCTCTCCTTACACCTTTCTGCTTTGAATAGGACTGATGAAGCCACTGTGTGGCGAAACGTTTCTTCAATAAAGATTCCCATATGTTGCATAAGTGTCTCAATTCATCAGAAATTTCCATATGAGGATAGACTGAGGGCCCTGAATCTGCACTCTCAATGAAGGCGTAGAATTAAGGGGGATATGATTGAGGTGTATAAATGGAAAACAAAAATAAATAAAGGGGATGCAAATAACATGCTAGAAATATCTAACCAAGACAGGACTCTCAGCAGTGGTTTCAAGTAGGAGAAATTTAGATTAAAAAAAAAGGGATATAGGAAAGCACTGGTTTGGTAACAGAGTTGTGGATGAGTGGAACAAACTGAAACTAAATTGTGTAGTTTTAAAAATAGGTTAGATAAATATACGAGCAGGTATGGGTGGGTGTGAGTTGGACCTGACTAGCTTCTGTCAATAGGTTTGATGCAGTGCTCCTTTCTTCTTAAGTGGATTTGACTTGGAAGTGACTAGCTTAGGCCAGGAGTCATCATGACTCTCTAAGTCGTAACAACACGATTCTGGTTTGCTTGCAATCGTGATTTCGTGAGTCATGATGACGGCTTTGAGGGGACGTGAGCTAGAGTTCGTCACGGCCACGCTGGCGGGAAATTCATCTGTAAGAACTTGCATTTGTAGTTACAGTGGGACTCATACTAGTCTCCTTATGGTGTATAAAGCCAGGTGGTCCAGTGGCTTAGGCGCTGGTTTGGAATTTTACGACTCACTTGATGTGAGTCATAAAGTCACCTACCGGCCTAACCGCCCATACCGTGGCTAGGCCAGTGGTTGGACCTGCCCAGTATGGGCCAGTAGGCCTTTTGCAATGCTCCTTTTTTCTTACGTTCTTAAAAAGATACCTTGGGTTGCACAGGTATCTTATTTACCATCCTGTGTAGACTTTAGACCTGACCTAACCCAAGAATACTGACCTAACATGAAGTAACATGAGGGTAGCATTGTGATCTGACCTAACCCATATATATTTTTAACCCAGTATAATTCATGGGTAGTCCGGTGACCTGGCTTGACCCAACTGTATTGTGAACTAAACTAACTCAAGGGTGTCTGTGTATCTTAATAAATTTTGTCTAACCATAACCCTGTGATATTCCCATGCCCTGAGCTGACTCTGGAGAGGAACGTGACCTGATCCTAGGACAGCTTTCTAAACTGAAATGAAGTATGTGCCTTCACTGGTTCATAATGGAACTTCTTTTGACCATTCCCTCATAATCTTGGCCGCCTCTTGATCTTATTCTCGAAGTAGCCAATTTTCTTACTTTTCCTGATCCTCTGGGCAGTCATACCTCCCATGACATGATCTTTCAGGTCCTCATCTCTCATGCCCTGTCCTTTCATAACCTGAGCTCACGAAAATGACTGACTTCTCACGTAGTAACGAAACCCAATAAATTCTATCGAGAAAACTTATGACCTGACATTAAAATCTTGACCTCTCTTTGATGTTGAATCCCTAAACTTAAACTAGTAAACTGACAAGACCTAAAACATCTACAGGATTGGACATTATGTTCACATTATGACTCAATAGATAGCCCAAGTGATCTCCAGTGACCTTCCTTGACACTAGGCGTAATGTTAAACGTAGTTGGCAGCCAGAGAATGACCCTATTAAAGGCTTTTGTCGTTCTCCTTCAGGCATCAGACCGGAGAAGGTCATGTGCAATAGTGAAATCCGTTTTGATGAACCGATATTCCAAGGTTCGTGCAGCTCCTTAATAATTCTATCCTTGAGCATTATTCTTAGTTACTTTTTTTCTCTCTCTATCTATCTATCTATCTATCTCTCTATCTATCTATCTATATATTTATATATATATATATATATATATATATAATACAAACAAAACTATCGCAGACAGGCGATCTTAACGAAGCAAGACAAGCCACGGGGGGAGGGATGGTGGAAATCTTTAGCTCAAGTACTTTCACACTTCTCAGTACGTCATCAGGAGCTGGGCAATATTGCTAAGGCAACAACAAGAGAAGTAGTGTGTAGGCACTAGCCAGAGTCTGGCTAGTGCCTACATACTACCATTCTCACTACTATACTCTGAAAATCTACCCTACTTCTCTTGTTGCTGGCTTTGCAACATTGCAGAACTCCTGATGACGCACTGAGAAGTGTGAAAGTACTTGAGTTCAAGATTTCTAACCCCTCGTGGCTTGTCTTGCATATATATATATATATATATATATATAAATATATATATATATATATATATATATATATATATATATATATATATATAAATATATATCTATGTATATATTATATAATATTATATATATATATAATATATTATATATATATTTGATATATATATATATATATATATTTATATATAATGATAATATATTTATATATATATTTATATATATTTTATATTATATATATATATATTTATATATATTTATATATATATATTTATATATTTATATATATATATTTATATATATATATTTATATATATTTATATATATATATATATATAATATATATATATATTATATATTTATATATATAATATATTTATATATATATATATTATATATATATATTATATAATATATATATATAATTATATATAATAATATATATATATATATATATATATATATATATAATATATAAATATTAATATATAATATATTATTATATATATATTATATATATTATATATATATATATATATATAATAATAATATATATATATATATTAAAAATAAATTATAAATATATATTTATATATAATTATATATATATATATATATTATATATATATATTTATATATATAATATATATATAAAATTTATATAATATAATATATATTTATATAAATATATATATATAAATATAATATATAATATATATATATATATAAATATATATATAAAATATATTATATATATATTATAAATATAATATATATAATATTAATATAATATTAAATAATAAATATATATATAATTTATATATATAATATATAAATATATATAATATATATAATAATATATAAATATATATTAAAATATATATATATATATATAATATTATAATAATATTATATATATATATATATAAATATATAATATTAATTATATAATAAATATATATATATATAATATATATATTATAATAAATATAAATATATATAATATAAAATATATATATAATATATATATATATATTTATATATATATATATAAAATTATATAATATACATATTATATAAATATTATATAATATTATATATATATATATATATATAAATATATATATATAAATATAATATATATCATTTATATATATAATATATATATATATAACTATATATATAATTAATATAAATATTTATATAATATAAAAAATTATAAATATATATATTATAATATATATTAAAATTTATATAATATAAATAAATATTATAATAATTATATAATATACTATATTATATATATATAATATATATTTTAATATAATATATATATAAATATATATATATTTAATATATAATAAATAAAAAAAAATATATTTAATAATATATATAAATATAATAAATATATATATATATAATATAATATAAATATATAATATAAATATATAATATATATATATATAAATAATAATAATTATATATTATAATATATAATAATAAATAATATTATAAAAATATATAATATTATATAATATATATATAATATATAATATTA